TTCTCATCTGAGCAATAATTAACCGTTAATTTCTGAATTTCCATCATCTATTATACTTTAGTTTAATTATTACCGTAATTGTTTATGTTGCCCTACGAATATGATATTCTGATCGAGCGATATAACACTCTTTATCGCATTTATAATCAGTTTTGTATTCTATTTAATAACGACGGGATTTAATGATCGTCAAACGCTACAAGCCGTTGCGCAATAGGAAGTTTCGTTAATTTTATCATGTATATTTTCAAGATTTGTGAAGATCTTTTTTTCTTTTTTTTTTTTGGTAATTTAATTTCAGTGAGCTATTAATACAAAAATAGCACGAAATTTGATGATTCATGTGGTTAACGATAAGCGTTGCCCATCATAATTGGTGTCCTAACTCGCTGCCGCGTGGCTACGTCTTTGTCCCAAGCGTCGGCGGCCTTTACTTGACTCGAACGAGTGAAAACCGCGCGCTTTGAGCATTCTATAATTACGCTTTTGTCCCCCTCTTTCTAAATTTAGAGAAATGTTGGGATTGAAGGGCAAAAAAAAGTAAGAATTATAGGCGCGTAAGGGTAGCAGCCGGTTTTGGAGGGTGTTTCAGACCGAAAGTTTGTTCCACGTTGACTGGGTAGCTCTCGAGATTCGTGTTAGGATGGCACGTGATATACGGCCGTCCGATCTTAAGTACCTATTTATTGTTTTATTTTTTATCTTTTGGGGAAATTAATTAAATGGTTTTGAACTTTTGCGTAACAACGCGAAACAGGTGGGAGGAAGCAGACAGAGTCGGGTCCCACGTCGTGGCGGGCGCTGCGAGCGAAAGTGGGAAAGCGCGGCTGCCGCTTTTAGTGGAGCCCACCGTCCTTTCGCTGAAGAATATTTTGATAAGATAATGGCACAAAATAATATTTGGACAACACTTCAACTTCGATTCGAAATTCCGGAAAACATGCTCATGTTGAGTGAACGACGTCAGCTTTCGAGCCGAATAATAGATGATGCAATCAAATTTGAGAGATTTTTAATGTTGAAAAGATGGTCCGGTAAGTTAAGCGTTATCATATAATTAGTTAAAATTTTTGTTTTTAAAATTTTTAAATAATTGTATTATTAAACTTTATGTATGAGATGTTGCACCGACATAATTTAATATCTCTGGTTCAATGCATAGATTTAGAGATATGTGCAATTCAATGTTGGAGCATGCGTGCATTTAAATCAATCAGTACATTGATACCGCAATTTATTTTTAATTCAATGGATTAAAATTTACGATAATTTAAGGCAACAACGGAGAAGCAACGAGAATTAAGATAATATTATATAAAAAATATAATACGAGAAAGAAATGGAGTACGGCGCAGAGTGGTGACGTGTCGGGAAGCGACAGACAGTTAAGCGGGTCGGCATGTTTTAGTTCAAAGCTGTTGCCGCGTGTGGGACCCGCGGTCTTGTCCGGCCAACAGAAGGAGAGTGACTGGGACGTCTCGCGACGGGCCACGTTTCGCGTCCGTGTTGAAAAGAAAGCACAAAAAAGAAATAATAATAAAAGCAACCGTCAGGCAATTAGATAAATGAATAGAATATACATTTAACAAAAAAAAAAAGAATAGAATATAGGAGTGGGCGGCTGCTGATGCCTTTTTCCTGGTTGCCTCCTGAGGTGACACCTCCCCCTCAACAAGGATGGGCAAACGGGTATGGAAATTGCGGGTAGGAACGTGTAATCAAGGTTCAAGATGGGTACGGACCGGTTCTAATTTTTTAACAAGAGAAATGGGGCAGATTGATGAAATTTTTGGGGCGGGCTGGTTCCAAATGTATAGAAAAACAGGACCCTGGACCAGTCCGTTTGTAATTGCAAAACCAAATACTTCCAATCGAAATGCAAGAAAACACCCCCTCTAGGTAAACCCATGTCTTCAAATTTTCTATTTTCTGTTTGTTTCTTGGGAAAATGGGTTGGATTAGAGTTTCTAATGGTAAAGTTTTGTTCTTTTTCTTTTGGGTAGATTCGAATTGCAAAGTATGGTGAAGAAGCACTCAAGCTTATTAGGGAAAACAATGATCGTCGCGGACGAGGACGACACTTCTGATGTTGAATTGGACCACATATTTTGGCACGATGTGTTGGATTTGTGCTTAGTTCGTGGTAAAGATTCTAGAGGACGCCAAGACGATATTCAAAAAATTGTTACCTTTTTATTTATTTGTTTATGTTTTTGCTTAAATTTTATGAATTTTATAGCTTCATTTGTTATATTATTGCATTTTTTTAGGTGTAGAGCTCTTATGCGTATGGATTCAATGATGGCAAGGAAGGTGTTTCTCTATACTTCGTAGTCCAAACTCCTCTACTCTATCACAACCATTCATGGATGCTCTATTCTTTCCATACGCACCCAATCCAACTCGAATGAGTCCAGACCTCAGAACTTAGACAAATTAAAAAAACCCCAGCAAATCTTAAAGATCTCTAGTAGGTCTCGATCTCGTTGGCAACATGGAGGATATGAGCTTGAAGGTGAGAGCGGAACAATCGAGATTCAAGAGAGCTAAAGAAGAAGAAGAAAAAAGGGATGACCCGTGGACTTGACCCGAACCGGCCCGTTTCAAATGGGCCAGGTTAGGCCTAGTTCCTGTATTAGAATTTGTTGTACCCGCCCTAGCCCAGCCAGTTTCTTTTAAATCCGAGTCTGGTCTGGTCCCTTCAAAATTGGGCATGGCCGGCCCATGCCGAGCCCTACCCCTCACTCCCTTCTCTTATCACTTCTCAATATGAATTTTCTGAAACAAAGTTTTTATGTATCAAAAACATGGTTACATCATATTATTATTCTACTCAAATTACAGCAACGATAAGATAAAGGCACATTTAGTTAATTAGTTGCCGGATTTTTACTTCACTGGTGGTGAATTCCCTTTTCTCTCTTATCTTCTCTATTTCCGTACAAGATCTAATGGCTGAAAAATGCTCGAGAGATTGACCCCAAAAAATACTATGTTGAATTTTGATATTATACTTTGGACGGGAAATTGGCAATTTCATTTCGTCATATTCAAGTCACCCAACTCACCGCCACTTTTTATTATAGTCTGCAACCAATCAGCCAATGATTAATGTTCATCAGACGGTCAAAATTTGTTGGGTACAAAAGCCGATGTATTATCATCTTGTAATACACTAGTGGTTGTGACGAAGAATTTCAGATAAGGTTAAAGTTGTCGGAGACAGTAAAAGGTTTTGCGTCACACGTATGTGCGCTTTGGAGTTTGGAGAATAAAAAAAGACTCTCTCGCACTCTTACATGAGTGATGATCCTTGCCGGATCCACTTTGTGAGAATCTCGGGGTTCTCAAATCACATCCGTTCATCGTACATCGTACGTTGAAAAATCATTGTAATTTTTTTTATTTAAAATTGAATATAAACAGTACATGACGAAAATTGGCTGCACGATGTACAATGAACGGATATGATTGGATAAACAGTACATATGTGTTTTGGGGCCCAACATGTGAAACTGCAGTCCCCTTTTCTCCATTTCCCACCAAAGTTATCAATTATTTACGTCAACCACAAGCTGATGACCCAGTGGTCAAGGACGGATTGCAAGACTTACTTCAAATTAAAAACTGGAGGTCTTGGGTTCGAAACTCGCTACTGGTGTGGAAACCAGACTTATGGCCATGGGAAGGCTGAAATGCCTCTGTGAGTCTTTCCAGCCCCCGGAATGGGTGAATACTGTGGTTTGCCATCAATTGCCCCTAAAAAAAAAAAAAAAAATCAATTATTTACGTCAAGGCCCTAGACCTTAGCTGATTAGCTGGATCTCGAATTGAAGGCTGCCGCATGCATTTCCCACGACGCGTTATTGACCTTGTCAATGTCATTCGTATTTGGCTTTAGCCTTGTTGAATGGTTATCGATTTGGATAACTGTTTGTGGGAGTTTAGGGTTGAGACTTCGTTGTCAAGCATTTGTTTTGTTTACCAACTAATGTGTCTGCTCAAAGTCCTTTTAGGTACGTCAATCAACTATATGAACGCATATCATATTCACTTGTTAAATTTCTTTTCGTATCTGAGTGCATGTGCAATGGCACGTACTTTGATGTCGAGGAAATGTTCTTCGTCAACAAACTTACAAGGAGTTGGGACACTTGTCCCAATTATTTCAATTGATAACGACTTTTATAATGATATCAGAGTTACGTTAGCCTATATGTAAAATTCAACGATTACACGTGCTTTATATCACTCGGTTTAAATTATAATGAGCTGTGCTCCTTCATCTATTATTATAATATTATATTTTAGGAATTTGATAGCCAACCACATTTCGTGAAAAAAAAAAATTACTGATATCTCAACCATATATGAAGATTCTCGACTACTTACAAATTGCACAAAATTATTTACAAAAAAATAAAAGAAAAACACCACCGTATTTAATGTTGTTAGGAGGTTGTAATCAAATCCCTATCATTCTTTATGGTATCCAATTGTTGAGCAATAGCTGTAATAATAGTACCATGGATGATGGAACCCACATTGGAAGGAATAAGTTAGCGTCGTGTTATTTACACATATTTTTTTACTTTTACACTCTTTTGTTTATTTTTGTCATTTTATTTATTCGATCTGACGCTCAAAAATTGAAAGAAGTGTATAAAAAGTAAAAATAATGTATGAATAACACTATCCGATAGAATTTGCTTTATTATTTTAAAAAACTAATGAAAAATGTTTGAAAATTTTGAGTTTTAACGATAAGGACAAAATAAAGGGTAAAGTGAATAGTATCAGCATTAACTTTTTAGTGTAAAAATATGATTTTTCATTAAACTAAATAGTACCATAAATTTTTCGTTAAAATTCTTTTTTTATAATTTGTTACAATTTCATTTTAATTAGGAAAAAAAAATGTTTTTGAGAAGAGGTGGACCAAAGAACGACACGTCACCTGACTGCATGTGTACCGACTAACGAACGCGCCACCACGTGTCTGAAACAGAAGGATGGGCAAGAAAAAGATTGGATGCACCGGGACTTTCCGGTGGCGGTGGCAGAGGAGTCAAAGTGGCGCAGCAACAGAGCACACCCAGTTTGCGAAATTCGAATTGGGATTTTGATTTGTGTGAGTAAATTAAGAGAGCGAGTTCAAAATTGGGGGCTGAAATGGTAGAATTATTGGTAGCGAAAAATTGGGGTTGAAGACAGACACTGTTAGATTGATAAGTTTAGGGTTTATGTTGGAATTAGGTCAAAATTTCAAATGGGGAGAATTTTTCTGATCGAATTGGATGGCAGAACTTACAGATGCAGATTCTGTGACAACGCTCTTGCCCTTGCCGACGATGTCCTCTCTCGGGTACTCTCTCTCTCTATTTCTTTCCCCTAAAGTTCGCATCTTTTTATACATGATGAGGTTTTTTTGAATGATATAAGCATGATTACCAGTAAAATAGGATTAATTTGTGATAGAATGGAGAAAAAGGTTGAGAACTTGTTTCCTTTTGAGGGAATTTGAAATGGGTTTGTATTGATTTTAGAAAAAGGGTTTTAGAAATTGGGGTTTCAGGTCCTGCATAAGTGAATTGGGGTTTTCAGGTCCTGCATGGACTAGATTATATGTAGGCATTGTTTTTTTGGATTGGGATTGGGATTAGGGCGTTCGATAGAGGATATGTGGTATTTCTTGGTGAAGAAGCTTTGTGAAGCGAGAATGGACACACGTAAAAGGGCTAGATTGCGTGTGGTAGGGGTGGGGAAAAAAACCGAAGAACCGATAAACCGCACAGAACCAATTAAAGGAACAGCAACAGCTGCAGAGTCAAGATCTAAGAGTGTTGCTTTCGCCTTTGAGCGCTGTCAATGGTGTTGGCCCCAGTGCATGACATCGCAGGCACCTACGGAATTAATAAACAGAGTCTGGAGTAAGTATCATTTCGTTTTTGTGAGATTTGAGATTGACTTGCAAATAATAATAATTTTAGTGATTTGAGATTGATTTTGAGATTTGCATATTACAGATTGTAAAAGCTTAAAAACTCCAGGTCAATTGGGAGGAGAAAACCACTTAGTGCCATGGTAACGAATGGAATGTATACACACATAGATTCGTGGAGAAACTAAACATTTTGCGACTAGACTGCGGCCGAGCTATTAAGTTTTGTTGTTGTGAAGAGTGACAAGTGATACATTAGACATGGATCTTAGTAATGTTTTCCTTTTCGAAGAATATATAGAACTGTGTTCAATTTTTATTCTGTGACTTATATGTCATGGAGCTTATTCTCATTATTTTGAGATGCTTATTTTCGTTGTTGCTTTTTCATTTATGTGGCAGAGAGCCAATGTAACATGCTTTAGTGTTTAGCAATTTGACTATAGTTTGTTGTAATTTGATTAGTCTTTCAACTGCCGTCAAGGAAGGGCATATCTGTTCAGCAATGTGTAAGTTCTTTGCTTTTATAGCCTTTGCTTTTATTGCCTCTCGTATTTGTCATGTCGTTTTCTGGCGGACATATTGCCAGACAATGAACAAATATCCTTATAGTGAACTAATTAATTCTTGAATTGCCATAGTGTCAATTTTTCATAGAAATCAGTCTCCTCTCTAAATTGTAGGCCTTTTGGTCACAATAATATAAATTTGATGCTGTCGTATCTGTTCTAATAAAATAACAATGTTATATTATCTTCAAGTGCCATGGGTAAATGTGGATTGGCCTTACCTGCATCCTCATTGTTCTCATCTGACCTTTGAAAGTCTTATCCAGGGTGAACATAACGCTTGGTCCTGAGGAAGATAGGCTAATGTACTCTGGTTTGCATACTGTGGAAGATATTTTTTGTTGCTGCTGCGGACATATTCTTGGCTGGAAATATGTATGCTTTCTTCATCTCTCTGCTTGAATGTTTTCCAATTTGTGTTAGCACGAGTAGGTAGGAGCAGGACCAGGGAATCACGTTTAGGTAACCTATATTGTTTTAAACCAAGTACTCGAAGTACACTCTATGTCTGTGCAATCATTTACATCTAGACGTGGACCGCTCTACTTTTGAATTAGTTAGATTATTTGTGGCAAAGTCTAAATATAGCATTTGATCAATGTTATTAAAGTGCTATTGGTGGACTGAACACCTTTATTTTGAACACAAAACAATCTTATGCAATACTGATGGTGAATTTTATTAGGTAATTGCACACGAAAAAAACCAAAAATACAAGGAAGGAAAGTTTGTGCTCGAAAGGTACTTGCTGTTTTTTACTTTTGTCTCTATTTACGGTTTCTATTGAACTAAATGTGCCCGTTTCAATAACAGATGGACGATAGTGGAGGATGTAGCTGAGGAATTCAGCTTGGACGCTCGTCTTGGTTCAAGTGATGGAGAAAATCCCTAGCAAAGTTCAACACTTATACAAATAATAAGAGCTGGATGCTACATAGTTATTAGCACTACAAACAATATCAAGAGTACTGAATTCTGTATTACACTTTCAGGTGAGTTTTTTTTATTTTTTTCCAACTAAATGTCTTAATTACCCCTATCCATCAAGTCAATCCATCGATCGATGTTATAAATTTGTCTCTCGCGGCTGTTTTTGAGAATTGTGATTATGAACAACTAGTTCGAGTGTATACACGGTTTATGTCATGAGAACCTAATACCCTACAAGCGAGAACCTTTTGTAGCATCAGGATTGAAGATGCAATTTTCCGAAAACCTTTGGAGCACATGAAAAGTTAGAGCTCTCCTACTAGAAGCTTTGCTTTGTCAATATTTGGGAAGAAACATGGGATGGTACTCATGGTAGGACCAAAATACTCTTACGTATTTTGTGTGCGCGCGATCCAACGGACATGTGGTCTGGTCATTCGCTCGCAAGAATTTCTCTTGCGTTGGCCTTTGGCTAGCTATTTTAAAAAATGAAAATTAATGAAAAGAGAACAGTATCGGAAGTTTTTCGTTAAAGTTCTCTTTTAAAAAATCATTGTGACCCAATGATCCCCTCATATTCATTAAAAGGATGAGAAAAAACCAATGTGCCCCAATGATCCCTTCATATTCATTAGAAGGATAGGTATCATTTTTCTGGGGCCCATTTTGGTTTCTTCTCCTTTGGACCAATCGCACTGCATTGCTGCAAGGGATGGTGCCGAGGGGAAAAATCAATCGTACGCAGTCTTATTCTTGTTTTGCGAAGTAGTTTATTAGATATAATTATTTAATTACAGATGTGGGTGGACAGCGTTCCTTACTCTGGATGGAGGAACATCCCGGTTTCTTATTGGAGACATGAGCATGCTTAAATAAATGACAAATATTTATATGGACTCTTAATTTTAGGTCTTCTGCCGTCCAACAGAATAAAAAATTAACTTAGCTTATACAATAATTGTTCAGTAAGTTAATAGGGCGCTAACCACTCGCTTGAATGTACGTCCCAATGTTTTGCATCAGTGAACACATTTTTTTAGGTCATTGTTCAATGTTCGTCGCGTGAAATTTTTACTCAAGTTGAGAAACGTTTCGTTGTTTAATAATGTTTCTTTAACAAACACATGAACATTGAGTGAAATTTTGTGAATAATTAAGGATCTATTGAATTAACGGTTTTGATCATAAAATTATATTTAGAACTTGGTGTAGACATCGAAATTTCACTTGAATTTCTGATTAGTGAGAAGTTAGTGTGATTAGTGGGAAGAGAGCCCCACTTGCAGAGAATAACTCACATGAAAACAAATTTATTGATGTTTAGATTCAATAATATATTATCATGTGCATAAAAGATATTATATAATAATAAATTACTGAACCAAAAAACGTCACGTAACAGTGAATTCATTACGTAATTCATTCTACGTCAGTAATTCTCAAAAGTATGTAGCTTTGTAGAGTGTCATTTAAACCCTTATTTTTTATTTTTCACATATCTTGTTTATTTTTAGGGAGTTTTAATGAAAAACTCACAGTACTGTTCACTTTAACGAAAAACCATATTTTTACACTAAAAAATCAATCCTGGTACTATTCACTTTATCCTTTTTTTTGTCCTTATTATTAAAACTCAAAGTTTTTAAGCTCTTTTCATTAGTTTTCCTTTATTTTTATGCTTTGATTTTTTTTTAAATTTATTTGGTCTGCGTAAACGTGTGAAAATTATAAAGGTAGGTGTGTGACCTTATCCTTTTGAACTATGATTCTCTCTCCCTCCTCTTTTCATCTTCTCTTCTCATAATCTTTATTTTGTCTTTCTGTTTCTATCAAAAATTAATATAAAAAATTAATGTGATTTAATCGTGATCGTTTCAATAAGAGAGAAGGGAAAGAAATGAAAAAAAAAAAGAGAAAAAAATCTTACTCCTAATCCTTTTTCCTACACGAGTATTGTCTGACCGAGTCTTGGAGCCATGGAGACGGGGACCACAGAATAATCGGGTAGAAGAAAGAAAGAAATAATAAATATGTCACCGTCCGGGGATTGTTGTGGTGTTATTAATTGGAACCGCACGGCGACGCGCCACTCTGCAACTCTCTGCCCCCACGTGATGCACACCACTGTCGGACGGACTCTCAGTGCCCTTCCCTTTTCGAACAACTTTCATAGCATGCGAGTGCATCGTCAATGTAGTGTTTTGTTGTTTTGTGTCCATGTTACAATCTGATATGTAAATGTTATTGTGTACGATATTGTATTTTTGCACGTGAAATTATATTAGCTATGTAGTTTTCAGTTTTCATCGTTCTAAAACTTATAAAAAATATTACCCTTAGTTGATCTAAATTATGAGGAAATAATTTTTTGGCCATGCTTTCTGGAACTCTAATTTAATCTCAATTTGTTCTTTGTAAATCAAAAGTTGTCGTTTTACTAACTGAAACTCAAAGTTAGCTTCATTTTGCTCCCTAAAAATCGTTATGATCTTATTTTGCCCCATGAAACTAAGTCGTATCTATAAAACTCAAAATTCGCTCTATATTGCTTTTAGATATGTTAATCTCTTATTTGGGTTTATTTTGGATGCACTAGGCTAGTCATTTCTTCTTTTTTTTTTCTTCATATCTTCAATTTCTTTTATACTTAATATTCTCTGCTTATTGAATGTTAATGCATAACGGAGATTTATAATTAACTTTATTACACATGTAGTATAGTGTTATTGGGTGTTGGGTCCTACATATGTTTTAAGAGGCAACCTATAAGTTTCAAAGAAAAGAAAGAGTTCACAAATCAAAATGAAACGAATTTTGAATTTTAATTTTCAAGAAGTAAAATGGTGACTTTTGAGTTACAGGTAATAAAGTGAAATTAAAATGAAATTCTAGGGATCGCAACTACAAATAAGCCAAAAGAAAATTGAAACTTAAATGCAATAAATGTAGTATACGGCTCTGACCAATTTTGCGAAATCTTAATACGTTTCGTCATTCTAATCTAAGCTTCTCTTTGTTTCCAATTTGGTTTTTTTTTTTTTTTCTTTCACCTTATATTTTGTTTCAATTTTCTTGAGTTGTCAATCGTTGGTCTATTTATGTATTTGCTTGCTCAATAGTTTTATTCTCGACAATTTTGAAATGGATTCGAAGCTTGTTTAAGAAAGGAAGATGAAAACGACATGCCAAAGACAACAATCTTTCACTCATCCCTATCAAAACGGTAAAAACCTTCTTAATGCATCATTATCATGTATGATAAATGCTTATTAGTCGTTATCGTCACGATAGAGAAAATTTTCATTATGATCGGAATACGAGTGTTACATTACGTGTTTTTATATAAGTAATGAGAAATTTTATTTTTTAAATTATTAACTTTTTAACACACATATCGCACCATTTATATAGTAATACGTGATGTACCATCCCGTTTGTCGGTCACATCAAAAAATCTCTCAGATGGTAATGTATTTTCATGTTATTTCATATAGTGGGCACACGTGTCACATAAAATATAGCTTCGTCGTGTCCCAATGCTTGCCTTTGTAGTTGCTATATCTTAATCATGGACAAGGATTGTCTACCCTCCCACTTCTGGTGCCCTCCCGTGCCCTCCTGTTTTGTGTGATCACTGTTAAGTCACGTCAACGTTTTACATTTTCTGTTTTCATCGTTCTAAAACTTATAAAAAATATTACCTTCAGTTGATCTAAATTATGAGGAAAGAATTTTTTGAACTCTAATTTAATCTCAGTTTGTTCCTTGTAAATCAAAAGTCGTCACTTTATTAACTGAAACTCAAAATTAGCTTCATTTTGCTCCCTGAAAATCATTATGATCTCATTTTGCCTCATGAAACTTGAAGGTCGTATCTATAAACTCAAAATTTGCTCTATATTGCCTTAGATATGTTAATCTCTTATTTGGGTTTATTTTGGCTGCACTAGGCTAGTCATTTCTTCATTTTTTTTCTTTTCATATCTTCAATTTTTTTTTAAATTAATATTATCTATTTATTGAATGTTAATGCATAACAGAGATTTATAATTAACTTTATTACACATGTAGTATAGTGTTATTGGGTGTTGGATCCTACATATGTTTTAGGAGACAATCCATAAGTTTCAAAGAGAAGAAAGAGTCCACAAATCAAGGTGGAACGAATTTTGAATTTTAACTTTCAAGAAGTAAAGTGATGACTTTTGAGTTACAGGTAATAAAGTGAAATTAAAATGAAATTCTAGGGATCGCAACTACAAATAAGCCAAAAGAAAATTGAAACTTAAATGCAATAAATATAGTATACGGCTCTGACCAATTTTGCTAAATCTTAATACGTTTCGTCATTCTAATCTAAGCTTCTCTTTGTTTCCAATTAGTTTTTTTTTTTTTTCACCTTATATTTTGTTTCAATTTTCTTGAGTTGTCAATCGTTGGTCTATTTATGTATTTGCTTGCTCAATAGTTTTATTCTCGACAATTTTGAAATGGATTCGAAGCTTGTTTAAGAAAGGAAGTTGAAAACGACATGCCAAAGACAACAATCTTTCACTCATCCCTCTCAAAACGGTAAAAACCTTCTTAATGCATCATTATCATGTATGATAAATGCTTATTAGTCGTTATCGTCACAATAGAAAAATTTTTCATTATGATCGGAACATAAGTGTTACATTACGTGTTTTTATATAAGTGATGAGAAATTTTATTTTTTAAATTATTAACTTTGTAACACACATATCCCACCATTTATATAATAATATGTGGTGTACCACCCTATGTGTCGGTCACATAAAAAAATCTCTCAGATGGTAATGTATTTTCATGTTATTTCATATAGTGGGCACACGTGTCACATAAACAAAAGCTTCGTCGTGTCCCAATGCTTGCCTTTGTAGTTGCTATATCTTAATCATGGACAAGATTGTCTGCCCTCCCACTTTCGATGCCCTCCCGTGCCCTCCTGTTTTGTGTGATCACTGTTAAGCCACATCAACATTTTATATTGTTTTTTTTATAGAGATAATAAGACAAAAATGAATAGTAATATAAAATGTTGATATGGCTTAACTGTAATCACACAAACAGAAGGGCATGGGAGGACACTGGAAGTGGGAGGGCAGACAATCCTTGTCCCTTAATCATACGTACCAAAGTGACTCACTAAAAATATATAATTCTCAATGAGCATCCTCTT